CTTCACAACCCATATAAATTATTTCAAGAAAAAAAGTTACTATGGCAATGCCATTATGCATGTGAGTAGTGAATTTCATGCCTCTCCTTGAACAAAGCTGTATAATAAAAATACATGCTAGGAGTACACTGAAAGGAAAGATGATTGTTACCTCACAGCTCATTTATTTCCCACACAGTCAAGTTGCCAGACTTGTTCTTTTACAGGCTCTGAAACCAAACCTGCACCTAAATCTATCGGTGCTTTTTACTTTGGCAAAGAAAACTAAAATCATGCATGTAACTAAGTGTGTAACAAGCCAGCCCTGGCTCTGCAATCAAGTACACCTGAAGAAAGAAAAGATGAACTGAGCCAGACTGAAAGAATGTCTGTCCATTGTCCATTCACCAATTTCAGGAAAAAGACTTGTCAGTTGTACATTTCTCTCAGCAGTTCAAGGTTCCATCAGCCCCTATCTGACCATGACTTGGTGGCTACTGCCATGGAAAACAGGAGATGAATGCTGCACGCTCAGAGATAAAAAGAAGCCTGAAGTTCTCCAGTCTAGCTGAGGACAACACTGCCAGACATGCCAAGGTGCTGACTAGGGATAGGGGTTAAAGGAGAAAGTGGGAAGTTGGCTAAGTCAGAACATCTCAGAAAAGTAAAAGCAGAACAAAACAAGAAAAAAGTTCTTACGGGACAGAAAGGATAATATTAAAAAGAACCAGTACCTTATTCTGCAAGGTGAAATACAAATATAAATATGACAAACAGCATTATCATCATAACCAAAAGCAACAAAGACTTTCTGAAGGCAAAAAAAAAAAAAAAAAAAAAAGATGTATCAAGTGGTTTAACAGAAGATCTGAACCAAGTTTAACTGGACATGCAGGAAGATCAGCTAATGCCGTGCTGATAAACCCACTTGACTAGAAACATCTTTATGACTCCACCGCCTTTTTGGAGTAACTGCTCTAAGAACGAGCACATGCACTCAGGTTTGGAGTGTCAGGTTTACACTGTGGATCAAGGGCAAGGCTTGAAGATGAGAGCCCATTCCCAGCAAGGACTCTTCTATCAGTTAAACAAAGAGCTTTCTTCCACTGAGTTTCAGGCAGGGTCAACACCAAGCGCAGAGAAAAGGGGAATGTGCAAAGCCACTAATACTGACTAAAAAAGCAGTTCCTTTTCTCTCTGTAAAACACTACAGAATGGCAAAGAAGAGCAGCTCCAGTGATATTCATAACCCACATAAGCTCTCAGTTTGACTAGAGAAGCCACCTCTAACAGCTCCCCATGAACCTATGAACTGTGAAAGACAATTCCTGCATCACTGGAGTCAGTTTTCCAAAATACATCCATACCTCTTTGGGAGTTTTATGAGCTGCACAAAGAAAAATCCACTGTTCAGTTGCTGTCATCTGAGTGCATGTGTCAGGGTGACATTCACTCTGTTAAAACAATTGTTCAGTTAAGAATAAAACCCAGCAGCAAAAAGGAGCTCATCTTTTCCAATCACTTTCTTGCCCTGTCCAGCCCCCAAAAGGGTTATTTGCCATAAGCCCTTAAAATCTTACAAAACCTCCAACCACTGCGTAGCCCTGTGTGTATCTGTTTAGAAGAAAGCTCTGCAGTCTACACAAAACAAAAGTCTCTTCCCTGACAAAATGTCTCAAGAAAATAATTACCTGAAGCTTGACAGCTAGTCCATTGAGCTCAAGGCAGAATTGTCTAAAAGAAATTGAACACAGCAGCATCAAAATCAGCTTTTTGTTTCCTCACTGCAAGTATCTCATAGAAAACAGCTTAGATATTCTGATCTTCACACCAGCAGATGGGTTTTTTTTACTCAGCTAAACAATTATATTTTAATTCTTCACTGACAGCAAAGGCTGAGTTTAGCATATCATTTAGTGGAAGTATTGTACTGCAACTTAAAAAAAAAACAAAAAAAAACCAAAAAAAACCACAGAAGTGGACAAAAAGGTTTGTTTCCTTACAAGCAGAAAAATAACTGCAAGACAATCCTGCTGTTCTTGCCTATTTGCCTGCTAGTTTCAGGAAAAGCACTGGGAGCATCTGGAAATCACATTACCCATTACTGGAGATGAAGAACTGACAGTACTATGAGAAAGCGCTATGGAAATTGATGACTATATCTTCCTATTCAAGAAGTGAGGTACAAATATTTTCTTTAAAAAAAACTAAGATCAGAGCACATTATAAATCTTTAAAAGTAATAGAGAATTCAGAAAATAATACTAATATTTAACAGTGGAAAAATCAAATTTCATTTAAGTTACTTTTGATGTGTCACATTCAAACAGATTCACTACCATCATCAATCAACAAAACTTAGAACCAAGACAGAACGTTGACAAAAGATGGATTTTACCTTAAATGTTCATACTTCCATACACCTTCATCCTGGCCTTCGGGAGGTTCAAGGATCTTATCAATGTTGGAACAGTCTGCCCTTATGTTTTGTTGAATATACTGGTAGGGGAGTAGAAATATAACTAGATCTTGTTGTAATTACAGTAAGAAAGTATATTTAAAACATTACATCTTGGAGGGGCTTAATTTTTACTTAAATAATTGACAGACTAAAAAGTTCAAAAGTAGATGGGCAGGGTAAGGAAACTGGTATTAAAAATGCCAGATCTGAAAAATGCCTTTCTTCAATTAAAAAAGGTATACGAATTGGGAAACCCCCCCCCCCCCATTTTCCTAAATCTGATTTTTTTAAACCAGACATGGGAATTTAAGTTACTTCTGCAAACAAAATGAACCATTAATTTGTTAATATACATAGGTGCTTAGGAAATTCACTGCTGTGCAGCAACAACCTAAGCAGATAAATATCAAGCCCTGTTCACTTTTATATACCAGAACACAAAACCTGGGAAACTGCACTCATTAACAACATTTCATGCAAGTAGGAATACCTGCTGGACAGCTAATGTACTATCCATTTCTTCAAAGGACTCATCAGGCCAGTTGTAGAAATCCTGTTTTGAAAAAAGAAAAGTTTAAAGCAATGTAACAAAACCACAGGGGAAGGAAGAAAGGCACACAGCCTACAATAAGCCTGAGCATGCAGGAAAATAGATGGAGTTGATACAATTCCAGGAAGCTGCCTCTGAACAGAAGCAGCACACAGTCCTGGCAGGAAGAGGGAGAGGATTTACACTCCCAGCACTGCAGCAGCAGCACACCTTGGAATGGAAAGCTGTGCATGACTCGGCAGGTGAACACCCCCGCTGCAACACCCAGAGCCTGCATTTGTTCATTAAATACGGCACACAGCACCACTGCAGGTGTGACAGCAGGCAGCAGTGGGGAAGAACAGGTCTGCAGAGAGCAGCAGCATGCACTGGTTATGAAACTAAAACTCCCAGTGGTGACACAGCAAGAAAAACATCTCTGAACTGAGCTCACGCAACGCTGTGTGCCTAACCTGGTACCACATCCCCACCTTACCCTTGGTATGCTCAGTATGCCTTGATTAATTTACCTGGATGCTTATCAGCCTTGTCAATGATAAAGCCTTGCAGGAGTTTCACCTCACATCCAGCTGCACCTGTGTTCTGCAGCAGTCCACACGTGCTGCACCTACGATCATCCCAACCATTGGCATTTCCTTACTGGGCATTTTTCACATCTAAAATTTGGTGCTATTCCCTCATATCATGCAGAGATGCTGCATGTCAGCTTGCTGTAGTCATCCCAGGCGGTGCAATGACTCAAGGAAAATGTCCCAACAGCAAAGCTTAGCAATCTGTTCCTGAGAGAGCAAGTCAGCTCTGGGAAAAATACCTCAAGTGCCTATCCACTGTTGAAATATCATTACCTCATTGTATCTGCAAACTGAACAGCTATACCAGTGTCACCCAAAATAAAACATTAAATTCAGCCACACACAAAGAAAAATCATGTCTATGGAGAGAAATTATCACCACTATACACAAAACACTTTAACCTGCATAGATTTCATACTATTTGACCAAACCTAGGTCTATGTCCAGCTGTTTTTCAGAATACCCCAAATTTATCAAAGGCACAGATCTCCTTCTCACACAGAAGGAGACATTCTGTCTCCTTCACAGATTAAACATGCGTAGAATGACCTGATTTACAGGATTGTGTAATAATTCTATCTCTATGCTATGACAAAGAACAGAAGACACGTGTCATACACGGCTCCTTTGCCACCACGAGTTCTCCTCCCAAAAGCAGAGGGGAAAGTCTCACATAAAGGTCTGACAGAACACCTCTCTGAAATAATCTAAAAAACGCAGTTTCCGTGTTTGACGTGTGCCTGTTCCAGCTGACCGTGACACCACAGAAACGAATTCAATTTTGATTAAGAGGAGCGATGTGACACCAGAATTTCCCTGTGCGCAGTTACGTAAGGGAAGGATGACTTCCCTCCGGGATGGGCAGGCAGGTACGGCCGCTGTGCCGGAGCCGAGCTCCCGCGGAGCCCGGCGCAGGGTCATGAGCCCGCTCCCGGAGCGTGCTCTGGCTGTTTTCACAGCAGCACCAACAGCCCAGCCCGACAGTGCCGGGAGCGCCCTGCCTGCACCGGCCCGCGCTGCCGCCGGCTGTCACAGGTGCCGGGGCCCGTGCCTCCCGCGGCCAGCCGCGCCCGGCGCCACCTCCGCTCCCAGCCCGCAGCCTGGCAGCCCCGGCGGCCTTTCCGCCGGGCCCGCGGGGAAGGAGCCGCCGCCGTGCCCGGCCGACTCACCTGGGCCTTGGTGCCCGGGCGGTTCCGCCGGAGCACGGCCGTGCCCTCCGCCATGACCATAGCGACCGCGGGGCCCGGATGTGCCGCGGCGCCGCGCGGGGCGGGAACAGCCGCTGGGCGGGGCGGGAGCCCGCGGAGGGAGGAGCGGTGCAGCCAGAACAGCCGCTGCGCGCGGCGGGGGCGGGAACGAGAACGGGAAGAGCTTCTCGCGAGAGAAGGCGGGAGGCGGCGCGCGGGGCTGCCGTGAGGGAGGGCGGCGGTGCGGCCGCCCCGGTCCCGGCCCTTTTCCCTTTTCCCTTTTCCCTTCCCGCTCGGCTCCGAGCAGCGCCGAGGCTGCTGCTCTCCTCCGCGCGGCGCTGGAGGCCAGGAACGCTTCCCTGTGAGCGCGGTGCCCTGCAGGTTCCTCTGTCAGAGCAGAGCTTTGTATTCCTGAGAGGGAGCCCTGACGCACCCGCCCCCCCACACACGCAGAGCCGGGAGTGCGGAGGTTCGGGGCGGCCGCTCGCTGCTGCGGGGCCGGTGGCGCAGCGAGTGACCCGGTTTGTGAGGCGAAGCCTCGCACGGAGATTGACGGGCTGAGTGGTTATTGAGGAAATCCATAGCATTTCTTTCTGTCTCATCAGCATCCCCCGCCAGCCCCGGCTGTGCGTGCACTCACGCAAGGTCAGTCCTCGCTTGTCTGTACAACCCAGTCCCCTGATGCTCTGTGCAATACAAACTACAAGTGTGTGGATTTAAAAATTATTCAGAGTTTAATAGTCAAGATTTATTTTAAAAATAAAGAGCCCACCCTAGCAAGGATTGTTTGGGGCAAAATAAAGTAGATAGGAAGCCTCTCTAGGTCAAAGGCAGGATTGAGACACCTGTGAGCTTGGTGTGCAGAGGGCACAAACTGCTGTGCTCATGGCAAACAGAGTTAGCTCCGGTTTCAAGGGTTACTGGGCCGGGTGTTGACTCTATTTGCGAAGAAAACAAAAAAGACACTGTTACCTCATGGCTGGCTGATAAATACGTCTCCCTTACAAGCGAGTAAACATTTTGGAGCGATTCATACTATTTCTGTAGGATAAGTGAGAAGAACATTATTTGAAAGCGGTTCTATTTCTCTCAAATACGTGGTAGATGAGTACAGAGTAAGGAATTGCTTCTGTCTGGCTGCAAGAACGGTGAAGCAGCGAGGAACCGTGAGACCCCTCCCTCACACAAGCAAGGGGTAAATGGTCGCAGCTGTGCAAAATGGAGAGGGCTGCTTGCTGCTTGCTGCCTGGTGCCGTCCCTACTCCCACCGCATTTCAGGGTGAGTGCTGCTTGTAGTTTCCCCCTTCACTCAATTATCTTGCTATAAACAACACGTTAAAACCCCTTCCTTCTACCCCGCGAGAGTTTGTGAAACATTTCTAGATGTCTGACAAACCTCCAATTCGGCTTTCCTGTCGGGAAGAGAAGCGCTCTTTGATCCCGGCCTGGCTCGGGCAAGGCCGTGAGCGGGCCCGTGCCGTGCTGCAGAGGCCGGCCGGGAGCCGAGAGCCCGCCGTGCCCGGTTTCCATCGCACAGGCGGCTCCTCTCAGGTTACACTGTAACGCGGAGCTCGGCATTCCTGGCTTCAGGCACCTGAGCTCGGTTTGCAGTAGTTACTTTTTTACTCCTGGCCAGCATTCCTGCCCCGGGGATGTCAGCTCTTCGGGTCGTGTGGCGAAACCCAGCTTGTGCAAGAAACCGTCAAAAGGTTTAAAACGCTGTGAGAAATTGCTGTGTTGGAATGAGGAGTAGAAATGTCCTAGCATTTCTTTAGACCGGCTGTATTCCAACATTATTTTTTTCATGAGGTTGATATTATTATTAGCCAGTTTCAAAACACAAACAGTTCTAGCTGAAGTCCTTCAAAATTCAGCGGTTTGTTTGCATTATTTTTTATTGTTGGATTTTGTTTTGATTTTTTTTCCTATCATCATATTCAAAGTTTAACCTTAAAGCACAGAAAAGTTGGGGACTTGACATTTCCATTTGTCCCTGACTTTTATTTCATGGTCATTTTGCTTTTAACGTGGAAACAAATCTGACTGTGAAGAAATACCTCTCAGAGAAAACTATGTCTCTGTCAGTTCACTCTGAAGATGGTTCATGTGTCTGCAGAAAAAAAGGAAACAAATCTGCCTCATTTATTAAGATCTTGAATTCTGTAGGGTATCTTGTGTTGCTCCTTGATGATTAATCCTGTATTCCTGGAAGATGCTTATCATTTTTATTTTATTAAATTTCAAGCTGGTTTTGAACAAAATCTGAACAAGAGTAACTTCAGTTTTGGGGTTTCAGCTGGTCCTCATCCTGTGGCCTTCAATAATGAAAATTTGAATATGTGGCCAAAATTTCATCAACCATTCACGTGCTGTTAGGGCCCTGTCTGTCCTTTCTTCTCTACTGGCATATAAATGTTCCATCCCTGTCTTACTGTGGCAGGATAACATAATCAGGGTGAGAAAAGCTTTCTGAAAACACTACAGCTGCTGAGAATGGAAGCTGTTCTGAAGTGCTAAGAAAAGAAAGTCACTAAAGATGGAGTCCACCTGGTTTCCTTGTGATTCTGACAGACTGAAGACTGTATCCCCTCAAAAAGCAGGTGGGGCAATATGGAGCATTTACACCAAAACTGAAGTTTTTAAACCACATAGAAGACAGTGGAAAGAAGCCTAAGTTCCTACCAGAAGAACACAGCAAAGGAACAGGGTCTGTCCTTGCCTGAAGGAGGGATACAGGATCTGGCACACAGTCATGGCCTGGGGGGCAGAACAGCAGATGGATCACCTTGGCTGTGTGGCAGTTGCCTTGTCCTTGCTTACAGCAAGAGCCTTGTGGTGCAAGGATAGAATGTTCCTGTCAATCCAGCAAATGTTCCAGGGTGTCCTCCATTTAATTAGGCCTAGGAACACTATTTTCCCCAACATCCATAAATGACTTATTCCCATGAAGTGTGACTTCTGTTTTTAATCACTTGTGTAAACGGTACTAGATACAGCCATGCTAAGTTTAATAAACAGGCACTTTATATTTTAATAAATAGGCATTGTATGGAGCTGCTGAAAACGTGCTGGGCTGAAGGTGGAGCTGGGGGCAGCCAGGTTGTGTGGTGAGGGATCAGAGGGATCCTGTGCAGTTCACGTCTTTTAGAGCCATTAGGGAAAGAAATGGTGACATTTTAGGCCTAAACATTTCCCTGTTAATTCCTACTGCATCTTGAGATGGGGTACAGTGTCTCTCAGCTGTTTGTAAATATTTCAAATACCTTCTCCTCTTTGCTATGTGCCTGCAGCAGATTGCCTGCCTTATCCTGGGAGATAAAGGCATGCTGGCTGCAGTGGAAGAGAATGCTTCCCAGGGAGTTTGTGTTTCATTGCACAATCGATTGTCTTGCAAGGTCCTTGGGGTGTGATTATCTTAAGTTTCGGCTTGAAGGTGCAGTGCTGTAACTACTAAAGTAAAACTGCAACAGGGCAGATTTCAAGATGTAGGTCTTTTATACTAAAAAGTGTATTTTTATTCATTTGGCATCTCGCCTGTCTGTCCATAGTTCAGTGCAAATTTAACCCCCAGAGCAGTGTCTGGTTTGTCTTTAGCACCAGAGCAAGCTGAGCTAACCAGCCAAGAGCAAGCACCCCCGGGAAAGGGGAGCAAAAGACATTGCAGCCAAGCCTGGCAAACGCAGCTCCCGCTGGAATGGCTGGGTGATCAACGGCATCTAGGGAAAAGCACGGCTCCAGCTGACCCCTGCGCTGTGCAGCTGACGGGAGGGACTTTGTGCTGGCAGAATATACATTGTGTTTCACACTGGCAGAGCTCGAGTCCCACACTGCAGCGTCTGAATGGAGATCAGAAAAATATTTTGTTACAGTTCTTTACTGTTACGCTGGAATCAGCATTATAATGTATCTAGCAGCGCTGAGTGCGGATCAGCATGACTAGAATGGGAAAGAAGTGCAGCTCAATTCCAGCCAATGAAGCTTCAGCAGCAATAAGCCATGTACTGACTGACTTCACTAGGACTAGTCCAAAAGCACTTTAAGGCACTGTCTGTTCTTAGGCTGCACTGGATCCCTCTGTGCAGCCAGCTTTGAAAGCCTCCTCAGGAACAGTCAGATTTGGGTGCTCCTGCACGTACAACCCCGAATCCTTGTCAAGGCAAGAGAAGGTGGCCAGGAATATGCAAATTTAATTGCTTCAGCATTACCTCAGTCAATGTCTTGCTATTTAAGAATGGTGTGTTAAGGGTAAAGGAAATATCATTTGTCAAAGCAGGTCTCTCCTGAGTTAAAGGAAAGCTCAAGAAATCTCTGGGTGTGAGTGTGGTTTAAGAGTAAAGGAAATATCATGTCAAAGCAGGTCTCCTGAGTTAAAGGAAAGCTCAAGAAATCTCTGGGTGTGAGTGTGGTAATCAGTAAAGAAACTTCATTTAAGACCAGCATCAGCCCCACTCTGCCTGATTAACTGCTGAGGGAGGTTTTTTATTTTCTATTGGCAAAGTTTAGTGAGTGATACGCAAGAATAACCATTAATTCTTACCTGCTCCATCTGGGAACTGGATGATTCTGTTACAGCACAGACACAACTAACACCAGGCTCCTTCCAGCTCTTGGGGGACAGGCTGTGTGCCTTAACCTTTCAGTGTTTCAGGCTCTTCAGACAGAGTTTACAAGAACCCATGCTATCTCAGGAGTCCAGTGTGCAAGGGAGCTGGATAAAAGGCCTCAGCAAGACTGCATCTGTCTGGTAACCACTTTAAGCTCATTTCATACAAACTTGGTGAAAATAACATTACTACCATTGAACGTTTCAGAGAGCTCATTACACAACTGAGACTCAGTTTCACTGAGCAACAGCAGAAACTGAGACAAAAGCAGAACAGTTTTACAAGTTTATTGGAAAGACCCTTACAATCTCAGTACAGAGATAAGGATATAAAATGATGTTGTTTGGAATAATTAAGGCTGGTTGGTGGTCATCCACATGTCACTGTTCAATGGAACTCAAGCAAGAGCAACTGATTTCTGACTGTACATATTTTTATTTGTGTTCCATCGTTACAGTGAGATCGCAAGTTATTTCAAAGACTCAATGCCTGTTTATTATAAAATAAAGGACATTATTTACATGATGAAAGAAAAATTTCAGCATTTTAGTGGAATGGATGACTGATACTGCAACAGGTTTAGTCCACGTATTTCCCAAGAATGTCACCATCTCTAAACAAGTAGTAGTCCTGTAAAGAAAAGAAACGTTAGCTTCTGTCACGTAAATCTTTTTCTTGTTTTGCAAATACTGTCTTGTTCCGAGTCAGCATTATTGCAGTCATTAAGTACAGAATCAAAAGCAAGCTAACCAAGAATCAACACGCAGAGCTAGTCTTGAAGAAGTTCCTTTTGTTCCTAAGATACTCCTTGGAGAGCTATCAAGTTACTACTTCTAGCAGTGGGAAAGCGCAAGAACTGTTAGAAAACAATTCTGCAGGCTTTCCCAGCCAAAAACAAGGATGCCCCCAGGAATTCCTAAGCCTTTTTGGATGCCCTCTAATATGTGCTTGACATATGGAGGCCCATTTTGCCCACCCAGCAAAGGTCAGGTCAGAGGCTCCTGCGGCTGCCGCCTTTCACGCAGGGCAGCAGTAGCGGCAGCACAGCTGTCAGAAGGCGGCTGGATGCAGCTGCTCCCTTTCGTGAGTGGTGCTAACAGCACAAAGCAACCGCAGCGTTTCCCACCGGGGCTTCAGGAACCATTCTGACCTGCACTCACAGAGCTGGGAAACCTACCTTATCTTCCAGCACGATCTTAGTACCACCATATTCTGGGAGCAAAACCTTTTCACCAACTTTCACACTTACTGGCTGAATCTCGCCATTCTGAAAAAAGGAAAAAAATCCTTACTTTTCCGTAACAGAATTCCTCCAAACTACCACAATCCATTCATGTACAGAAACGTTCAGGAAATCACAACTTTGCATTTAGTTTTAACTGTAAAGACAAGCATGAGGTCTTCACTTGACACGCTGAATAGGACTTCACTTGAAGAACCATGAAAACCCCTTGTAAATCAAGGGACAAATATTTCCATATTCTATAACCAAGGATAATTTCTCCAAATGCCAGTTAAAAAAGCACCTTGCCATTTCTGTAACTTTGATCAACTGTTGCCACCAAACCACTTGTTTAGAAGACCCTGATGAAGTTTAATTAAATTTTTGTATTATGAATAAAACATTAACACATTAGTCAAATATTATCACCCTTTCACAATATAAACTGTTGAAAAGCAGATCCTGCCACAAACCAGCCTGGGATGTATAGAGGGACTCATGGTGTGTGCCCAGGTTGAAATTTAACCTGTTTTCCAGTGCCACTGACTGAACACTGCTCTGGTGGGGAACCAGCCCTTCTGATGTGGAAGCCTGCAGGCACTGGCCTTTTTGTGAACTGGCTTCTTTTATCTCCATACACATATCCAATGTGCAGAATTAACAAGCAGTTATTCAACACTTGTTTCCTTTGATTGCTGACCTTCTTTAGTCCAATAAGCCTAATCCTTATGGACAATGGTATTTTGCACAGCACAAGGCAGACAATAAATAGGTATTTTATATTTTGTGGAAATCCCACATTCTGGGGTTCCACCCTGCTCACAGGTCACAGACATTTGGGCATATAATAATTTTAATAAAAAAGTCTGCTGGTCCCTCAAGGTTTTGGCTGAAATGTGATGAAACAGGGTATATCACACACAACACTGTCTATGTATTTAAAATAAACCCCCACCACCAACTCCTCCCCAAAAACACCCCCACCACCAAACAAGCAAACCCCATAAAAAAACAAAAAACAAACAGCAAACAAAAGAAACCCCACTCCATTTTACAAATTACAAAAGGAATGCTGGAATTCATTTCAGGACAATTGAGATTTCTACCTGCTTTTTGAATCCCTCCCCACTTGCAATTTCAGCCACCACACTCATCCATTTTTGTGAGCTATCACCACTTTTGCACTATATCCATCCCACCCTTAGGGCAACATTCAAGCTACCACCACTCTGGTTCTACCCAAATGGAATGCTTCAGGGTGATTACCTTTCCTCTGCCTCCAGATCCAACTGCTACTACTGTTGCTTGTAGCACTTTCCCTTGGGATTTTTCTGGTATCATGATTCCTCCTTTGGTTACTGTCTCAGCTGCACATCTCTCAACCAGTACACGATCAAAGAGGGGAAGAAATTTCCTAAATGCTTTTCCTGCCTGTGGAAGCAATTGTACATTGCAACAAGAGAGCCATTACAACAAAAACTGCAATTAAAAGGACTTTAAAAACCAACACATAATGATTTCTCTTTTGAGAGAGATGATGAATAGTGTAAGACAACTGCCAAGCACTTATTTAATAGCAGCAAATAACAGCTCTGATTGCATCAGAAACTCCTGAAGGCACAGGCAGATGCTGGGCAATCCTGACAATTCCGCTGTAGGAAGATGTACTCCAGCTGGGGAATAAATCACCCACAACAGAGCACACTCCTGTCTGGAAAGGCCTCTAGGCTTTTAACAGCAAGCCCTTAGCTGCTATAGCTTGGTGAACACATCAATTATATGAACTGCATCTATACTTGTCAATAGGTTTACATTAAAGAAGCACAAGTCTAGCCAGGTGCCCCGTTGTCAGTCTTTGTCAGGTGCTTTCAAGCATTACCCTTTCACAAAAAAACAGGTGAGACTCTGCAGCCTGAGCCACAGCGCTATTACTTATACCAAATTCTACAAACAGATTCAGAAAAAAATGACAAGGAAGTTTAGGTCGAGGCCCTGAAAATGAGAAGGTAGGCAACCTTCCGGCTCAGCTGCTTTGGTATCTGCTTCTGCTTAAGCAGAGTCAAGGTGAGGGGGTTTTGTTAAGTTGTTGGGTTCTTCCCTCACATTTGGTAGAGGTTTGGGGTTTTTTTGCAACTATTTCTGCTATCTGTCTGCATTTTAGAACCAGCAGTCTAATTCCCATAGGCCAGATAAATGCAAGCAAATGCACTTATCCCAGCACGTGGGGGTCAGGAAGGAGGAACTTGCTTTGATTTAGAAGGAAAGACGTGGCAAGTTGCCAAGTCACATGGAGATAGTGCTCCACTAGACAGGTACACAGAGCCCACGCTCGGAGAAAGAGCTGGAAGGGCCTGGCGTCCGTGCGCCCTTTGCCGGCACGCCTCGGCACCCACACGCACTTGAGCGGCGGAGGACAGCACAGTCACAGCAGGGCACGAACAAAAGGCAGTACGTGGAGATGCTGCGCTCCACTGCTGTCAGCAGCACAGCCATGACACACAGCCGAGGGAGAAGGCTGCTCCTTGGGGACGTTTTCATTCTGTGAAGATAATATCGCTAACCCTCTTCTTTAAGAGCTGTTCTACGTTTACAAAAAATAAACCTGCCAGACTTATGACCATTAATATTTTACACTAAGTGTTAATTCTTCACGTTGTTATTATCCTAAGAATCAAGTATCACTGCAAGAACAAGGGCAACTCAGTCAAACTCTCCTTCTTCTCTACAAAAAAAATTACAGGACTTATAGAAAGGAGAGCTCCGGAGCGTGGCACAGGTTCCTGTCTATCTCCGCAGAGCCCCGCCGTGCCCCGTGCGGCCCTGCCCCGCGGCGCCGCTGCCTCCAGCTCCACCCTGAGCTGCAGATTCTGCGCAGCCAAAAGCGGCCCCCGCAAACCTCCCGCCGCGTCCCGGCCGCAGCCCCCGCTCCTGCCGGGGCAGTCGCCTCTGCCCCACGGACTGCGTGACCTTGCGGCGCCGGCACCCCCGCCTCCACCATCCCCCCATCTCCCCGCGACCCAGCGCTGCCCGCGGGCACGGCAGGGACCGGGCGCACCCGTGCGCGGCGGCGGGGGCCCCGGCAGCGACCCGGCCGCGGGGAGGAGTAGGGGCGCCGCCGGGCCGTGGGGCTGTCTGTCCCCGCGGCGCCGGGCAGCCCGGGAGCGGGGCCGCAGCGGCGGCGGGAGATGGCGGCGGCCCCGGCACTCACCATGATGCTCCCGCGCGCCCTCACCGAGTGACCGCGCCGCCGCCAGCACACACGTGAGGAAGGTCACGGCGTGCGCATGCGCGGCCGGTACCCCTCCCCGGGGCGGAGCAGAGCCGACCCCCTCCCCCGGCCCCGGGGAAGTTTAGCGCCGCCGGTTTTTTTCGACCGCTGCGGCCCCATCCCAGTCCCGGGAACGGCTACGCCCTGGCGGTACCGCGGACCCGCCGCACAGCTCCCGCGGCGCTCCAGGCCGGGCCCCGCACGGAAGTGAGGTCAGCTCACCTCTGACCCGCGGCGAGCATGAGCGTTCCAGAAGGTTCTGGAATCGGCGGGCCCCGAAACATGAATGGTTCATGCTTACAAGGCCTCAGCGCATGCGCAGTTGCAGCCCGCGGCCCAGCGCTGCAGGCGGGCTGTGGGCGGGCGCGGGGGCCATGCTGGTTCCGGGGCCGGGCGGCGGAGCCGCACATGGGCCGGCGGCGGCGGGGGGCGGGGCTGAGGCGGTGAGGGCGGCGCTGACCTTGCTGCGCGTGTCCTGGAGCAGCGGCCATGTGCCCGCGGGGCCCTGCCCGGCGTGGGGGCTCCGGCGGGCCCGGGGTGGCGGCCGCGGCCTTGTCCGTCTTCTCTCCGCCCTTGATGGCGTAGCGGCGTGTGGGACCCTTACCCGAGCTCCCCTCGGCGCGGCCCCGCTGCTGCAGCCGCGGGCGGGCGCGGCCCCCGCGCTGAGCACATGGAGCCGCGGGCGCCGCGCGGTGCCCTCGCCGTGTCCTGCCCCGCTCCCGGCGGGAGGAGCTCGGAGGCGCTGGAGGCCGCGCAGGGAGGAGCTGCTCGGCGTGAGGATCGGGGACAGCCAGCCCGGTACCTGCAGTTGATTGTGTGTCTCGATTTCAGCCGGTGGAAAAATGAAAGATTCATCGTGCCTGCATTACTTCCTGAATCTGTTCTCCCTCTTTTCCTGTAGAAGTAGCTGTGCAAAGCTGTAATGCTTTTTTTTCTTTTCTCTACGTTTCTTTTAATATTTTAGACATGCTCCGTTTATCTACAGTACTCCGTCAGATAAGACCCGTGTCCAGAGCCCTCGCCCCCCATCTAACACGAGCCTATGCAAAAGATGTGAAGTTCGGAGCGGACGCGAGAGCTCTGATGCTGCAAGGAGTAGATCTTTTAGCTGATGCTGTAGCTGTCACCATGGGGCCAAAGGTAATGGAAGACTTGGCCTTTATGTTAGCACAGACCCGGCTGAAAATACTGTAACAGAGAACAGTTGTTGGGTTTCTGTCGGCGAAGCTGCACGATTGTGTTTGCAGAACTGCAGCGCAAAGGGGTAGGGGAGAGGACAAACAGCTGTAGTCTCACTGTCACCAAAAGTGGGACAGCAGTGCATGTGCTTTTCAAAGTAACAAAATCGCTTGGATTCCTGTGAAAGGTACATTATATTCATCTAAACAGTTTGAAGGTTAAGGAGATGTGCATAATGTGTTACCAGCTCAGCTGATAACCTGTAACAATGCAGTACATAATGTAACTGTCCGTGTCATGGGGTGGGTTAATTAGCATGTGGGTGGCTTGGTTGGAGTTTTTCATGATGCTTGTTTGGTTTGTTAATTTATTTTTTTTTTTTACTAATTACAATTTTATATTAGTTTACCTTTTAAATATTAACAAGCTTTAGAAAAATCCCAAGTGTAATACTGAGTTTTCAATTGGCTGATGACTATTACCAGCCTAGGTGAAATTTTGTGGTAGAGGCGTTCACTTGTGTTACCCTGTGTTCCGTTCTGTAAGGGACGTCTGGGGCTCTTGGAAAACCAGCTGTGGTGTTCTGCACAGTCATGCAGTGTGCAGTAGGGCTTGAAATGAGATTCCTCTTCTTGAGGAAGAGACACTGATTTTCTTGGGGCTTGTGTGAATACGTGTTCCCTGTAACAGCATGTGCATGATTGTTCTTCTGAGGGCCACTTGGCCTCTGTAACATGTTTTCTTGTATTCTCTGCACATTTTTAGTGCTCTACCAGCTTCATTCAAAGGCAAAAATACCATAAAGCTGAGCAGCAGATGAAGGTTAAGGAACAATTATGTCAGGAAGCTGAGGCTACTTCCATAAAGGAACAAAGTTTAAGTGTAGTTGGTTAATTTGACTCTTGTTTTTTTTGAATCAGGCTATTTTGTGAATGCCGAAGCACAGTCCTAATCCTCTGGCTAAAGGGCAGTTGCTGATGCAACTTCGTGTAACCTTAGGGGATTTTTGTTTGTCATGCTGTTCTTCGTGTAAAAACGGAGGGGTTGTGCTGCAGTGCCCGAGTCTGCTTCTGGCATTTTTAAGAAACCTCACTCTGGTGAGGAAAGCTCTTTTGGCACTGTTGTACTCTTCAAGGAGCCCGGTTTGCAGTCTCACACAATCTCTTGGTACTGCTCCAGCATGTTGAACAGCACTGGTTTGTGTGGGAGCTCAGCTTCTCAATATGCCGGACCATTCCAAACGCCTGTGCAGTTACTGGTGCTGTTTGTTCCCTTCTTCAGGAATGCAGGCAGGTGTTCTTGCTGAGAGCAAGCCCCTTCATGCGATTTGTTATCTGGAGGTTTTGTACTCCTCAAAGCTGCGAAGCAAACATTAGGAATAGGACCATATCAAAATACAAAACAGAATTAAAGAAACTAGGAGACATTATGAAAAATGTACCGGTAGCATGCTCCTCCAGAGAGGAGTTCTCTTATTCTTGAATCATTTTTATATTTAGAGGTGCAGGTCAAATAAGATCGTAGTCGGGAATGCGTTTTGGCATAACTGTTCCATGGCACAGAGTAAATTTCCATAAGCTGTTCTCCAGGTTCAGCCCGAGTAACTGAAGCAGAACCTCTCCTTGCTTCAGGAGCAGCGAGGCCTCGTGCTGGCAGGCAGCCAGAGCTGTTCAGTCATTGAGGCAGATGTGCGGGCTCTGAGCAGGGGAGCGGCACGGGCACTGCGCGGGAATCCTCGCCCCGCTGGCCTGGCACGGATCCCCAGCCTGGCTGGGAGAGCTCCCAGCAGGACCCGGCAGGGCTGGGAGGGACAGTGCTGAGGTGGGGCACTTGCTCTCCCTTCCCTCTTCCAGCAGCTCCAGCTGTCAGGATGGTAGAGGAGTTTCAGGGCAGCAGTAAACCAGAGGTGGCTCCTTGAGTTTCTGCTGCCTCCAGCTCACACTGGAATGTGATTGTTTGGGGCAGCTGTTGGCTGTGGAATTAATCTGTGAACAAGCGATGGCCTTGTGCAGGTGCATGTGCCTTGTGGTCCCTGTATGGGTCACGGTTTCCCGTGTTGGCTGTGTCTGTTAGGTATAATACTCCAGCTTTTTAGGTGGATCCAAGTCTGAGCTAAGATGAGAAAAGCTTGGTAACTTGCAGTCTTGGAGAAATTACTGTAACATGAACACAAATTTGAAGTGTTCTCAGTTATCTTTGCTAATCACTATTGAGGTTTGCAAGTCTGGGTTTTTTTTCCTTCCAGCACATGCAACAAATTGAGCTTTGTATACTTGTTTTCTAATCACAATGCTTCTTGTGATCTGATGAGAATCTTGGAAAATTGGTTCTTTGAGTTGGTATCTTTTTAATTTGGGGGTAAAATATTAGCATTTAGAGGGACTCTCTAGTTTTTTTTCAAGGTTAGTCTTCTTAATTGCAGACTGTGGTATTAAGCATTATGGCTGAGAAATGGGTGTCATTCCGTGCCAGCATAAAGCCTTTGAGCCACTTTTCTAGTTTTGGAGAACCTTGGTATTAAAGTGTGTGTTTGAGAAGTCCCAGCTGAGCCCCTGTCTAAGGTGTTCAGCTGTGACTGTTCAAAATTTTCAGTGGAGCTCTTGAGAGTAACATGCTTTGGGTTGGCTTGGATTTAATTTATTTTTTTTCGGTCCCCCTAGGGAAGAACAGTTATTATTGAACAAAGCTGGGGAAGTCCCAAAGTGACAAAAGATGGTGTGACAGTAGCAAAGGCAATTGACTTGAAAGACAAATACAAAAACATCGGAGCGAAGTTAGTTCAAGACGTTGCCAACAATACCAACGAAGAAGCAGGAGATGGTACCACTACTGCAACCGTCCTCGCACGAGCCATTGCCAAGGAAGGCTTTGAGAAGATCAGCAAAGGAGCCAATCCAGTAGAAATCAGGAGGGGTAACTTTTTCCTGTTGATTTTAATATTTAATCGCTGTCTTTGTTTTTCATACCCTAAGTTTGAATTGCTTTCTATTTGAAGAGTTATATGATGTTTATAGAGCACAGTTGGAGTTTTTTATACTGCAGACTGAACAATTAATCATTTGTCTAATCATTGTACTATTTTACATGCAGTCAACTTACTTAACTTGTTGTAAGTGAACTCCAGTTAAAGCCATTTCTGCATTTAATTAATACTGTAGCCATGTAAACAAATGTGTTACAAATTTCAGTCATGACAGTATCTCACACCAGTTTCAAAAAACCCATCACTGCATATACAAATGACAGTATGGAACAAGAACTATTTGATTTTTAACATGCACACAATGCATTTTTGCAGTGTGGCCTCCTCTTTGAAAGGAAACCTGTTCATTGTGGTGGGTGGGTGCTTGGTTTGTGTTTTCTGTGCTCTGCACCTTGCTTTGTTCACTCACAAGTGCCCTGTTCATCTCAGGGGTGATGCTGGCAGTGGACGCCATCACAGCTGAGCTGAAGAAGCTCTCAAAACCTGTTACAACTCCAGAAGAAATTGCACAGGTAAAAAAAAACACCATAAAATGTAACCCAAATTTAGGCATTTGTTTCTCAGAAACAGTTTTGTGAGGTTAGGTTTCATGAAGTTAGGTTGTGTGCATCTTGACACTGGGTACTTTTCTTTATAAAGCAGAAGTATTGTTCAGTTGCACTGCTAGAAGCTAGTTCAGAAGTTGGCAGGTTTTTTCATCTTCAAGTTTCCAAAGTGTGGTCTTAAAACATAAATGTGTGTACTTAGGAAGAATTGATGGGAACAAAGCTCTGTTGTGAGTGGAAGTGATGGCAGAGTACTGAGGGTGTGGCAGATGTGCTGTGGGAGATGAGGTTCAGGGGTGTTGGTGGTCCTGGGTTATCTGTGCCTGGAGATGGCCTGGGTGTGAGCCCGGTGCAGGGAATCTGGCTCTGTGCTGCAGCTGCCCAAGGGCCCGAGCCCTTCTGGCAGAGTTCCTGCCTCCTGCTGTGAGTGTGCTGCACTCCCCTGCCCTGCCTTGTCAGAAATGCTTATTGTGATTTTTTTTTTTTTTTTTTTTATCATGAGGAAGCGCCTTGCTTTGGAAAATGGGATTAAATGTCTTATTCTTTCAGGTTGCCACAATATCAGCAAATGGAGATCAGGAAATTGGCAATATAATCTCTGATGCAATGAAGAAGGTTGGACGAAAGGGTGTGATCACTGTCAAGGTAAGAACTGGCCAAGGGACTGTCTCTTCTCCTGTTAGGGCTGGCTTTTGTCACTTGTGATGCTGCTGCTGCAGCTCACATTCCATAACTCCCACCATAATTCCTCCCCAGCTCTTTTAGGTCAGAGTTTGACCACTCTTCCCTTTTACCTTCTTCCTGTTTTGGAGAGAATCACATGAAACTGATGAGGGATCCAGAGCCTTTCAATCTGTTGTGCACGACATGCTGAAACTGTACTTGTGCTTTTGGTAGCAAACAGGAGATTTTAATGCACACTTTCTTGCATCTAAACAGGATGGAAAAACTCTAAACGATGAACTGGAAATCATTGAGGGTATGAAATTTGACAGAGGCTACATCTCTCCATATTTTATTAACACAACTAAAGGTGAGTTACAATAAGTCACGTCAAACACCTTCCAGTGGCTTGTGTCAGTCAGAAATGATGGCACCTGGAGGGCTTTACAGTCCCTTATGCTGTGCACCACAGCAAATAGAGCAGGGGGTCCTTTCCCATCAGAAAACTTGAACTTGGTAAAAGCTTGGGGTGTTGGGGGTTCCTTTTTCTTCCCTGCAAAGTGTTCCTGCGAACATCAGGCTGGCCTTGCAACACAGCAGAACAATGGAGAATTGAGAGTGGAGTCTTGCAGAAAACAAGTTGTCTTTTTTTTAATGCAGTTGGAAAGCGCAGCCATTGCTCCAAAGCACCTGCTCAAGTTCAAAGAATGCTTGATATGTTTTTGTAATGGAATTGTTCAGATAATGCATGTTGTTTCTGCAGGGCAGAAATGTGAATTCCAGGACGCTTACGTTTTAATCAGTGAAAAGAAAATCTCTAGTGTACAGTCCATAGTTCCAGCTCTTGAAATTGCCAATGCCAACCGCAAACCTTTGGTCATCATTGCTGAAGATGTTGATGGAGAAGCCCTCAGCACTCTAGTCTTGAACAGGTGAGCCTTAAAGTCGTTTTTTTCTATGGTGTAAGGCTGGTTGTTCTCTTGCCTGTGCCAAAGAAATAGCAGCTTTTAACACCACCATGCTTCATATCAACTCAGGCAGAACTTAACTGCCCTTTTATAAAAAACTACCTCAGTTTGTGATGGTCTCTTTGTTTGCTTGACTGCTAGAGCTACACTGAAATAATTTGGCATAGTAATTAAACTTACTCTCTGAATTTTTGTCTTTAGACTGAAGGTTGGCCTTCAGGTTGTTGCTGTAAAAGCACCAGGTTTTGGTGACAACAGGAAAAACCAACTTAAGGACATGGCAATTGCTACTGGTGGCGCTGTAAGTAATGATGTTTTAAGTGGCTTTTTGCTCCAAGGAAAGTTAATGCTTTTTAAGGAGAAAAATACTGTACATTTTTAGGTCATTGGCTTGTATTTGGTGGGTTGCAGGCTGTGTTCTGTTCTGTCAGAAATGTAACCATAACTGATGTTTGAAACTTCCTGTTTTTTAAAATGATAATTGCTGTGTAATGCAGTCCTGGCCAGCCATATGTCCTTGTAACTGATTGAAGTCACATGAGGTTGCCTTGCAGGATTTAGGTTTTTAAGGGGAAGGAGGAACTCCAAGGCAATTGTTGCCTCTATAAATATTAATTGCCTGGCCTCAGATGTGGTAAATACAATTATTTAAAATTCTTGGAATTGACTGAGTGAATTTTCTTGCTACTAAATTTTGCATATAGTTGATGCACTGATTAATGTCCCTTTATGCTGCCCTTTTTTAATATGCACTTCAAAGTCATAGCATGATATTGGGACCCAGAGGAAGCTGTTGAAATAAAACTTCATGTTTAAGGTGATGGCAGCACAAAGTAACCAACTAGCAAACTGTTCTTCAGTCAACGACATGTCAATGCCTGTAACTTCTCAAAATACTTGGAGATGACCAGTGACAGGACCCAAGGAAATGCCGTGAAGCTGTGTCAGGGCAGGTTTAGGTTGGATATCAGGAAGATGCTTTTTACTCAGGGTGGAACTGCAGTCATGTGATTATTTTGCACCATTAGCCTGCTGTATGGGTTCATGTACTTGTAGATGTGTGGGGAACCTGTGAATTCCAGCTTTTCACATAATTTCTTTCAGGTGTTTGGAGAAGAGGGTTTGAATCTAAATGTGGAAGATATTCAGCCTCATGACTTTGGTAAAGTTGGAGAGGTCATTGTGACAAAAGATGACACCATGCTCCTCAAGGGGAAGGGTGAAAAGGCTCAGATTGAAAAACGCATTCAAGAAATAATCGAACAGCTAGAGGTTACCACCAGTGAATATGAAAAAGAGAAACTGAATGAGCGACTGGCCAAGCTCTCTGATGGAGTAGCAGTATTGAAGGTATTAAGAACTTGGTAAAATCATGATGAACTAAAGCTTGGGCTTCTTGAGTGCTGAGGTACAGAAGACTTGCCAGTGTGGGAGAGGGTGGGTTGGGTTTCTGGCGCTTCTTAGGCACTGGCAGCTTAGTTTGGTGGCAGCAGAGCCGTCCCGCGCGGGCTCCGCGTGCGGACCCTGACGTGTGGCTTGCTGCTCGCAGGTGGGTGGAACGAGCGATGTCGAGGTGAACGAGAAGAAGGACAGGGTCACCGACGCCCTGAACGCCACCCGTGCGGCCGTGGAGGAAGGCATCGTCCCAGGTGGTGGCTGTGCCCTGCTGCGCTGCATCCCAGCCTTAGATGCCTTAACCCCAGCCAACGAGGATCAGAGAATTGGTGAGCAGATGACTGGAGGGTGTGTGTGGAAGGGATACAAGCAGGCTTTCCTAAGGCTTTATCAGGTAGCTTTCAGTGAGTTTTGAGTTACTTGATCTTAGGAACATTCCATTTCTTTGGTATGGTGGTCTCTGCTTTTGAGTGGGAAGGAGCTTTTTCACTGCATCGCTGGTTGGACTGTGTAAGACCCAGTAGCAGTAAAGCAGCAGTATCCCAGCACAGAGTGGCAAATGTCTAGTGTTGGGAGCTGGCTGTTAAAGTCAGACAGACAAAATCTAATCATGCTCAAGAGACTGTGTGGCAAATCAAATGGAAAAAGACTTTGTGTCATGTTACATATAAATATAGAGAGTAATAATACTTCTTACTATTTTTTGTAGAAGTGAAACATGCATGAATATCCTGCAGAGATTTCATTTGCTACCAAGTGTCAAGTAGCAGAGAACCTTTCTTCCTGACAAAAAATAGCTTATGTGCTTGCTTGGAGGACTTTCTCTTTGTGTTGATCTCCAGCACTAGGGCATTCCTTGGCAGTGGGAGTGGTGTTTGTACACGGAGCTCCAACTGTCCTGTTTCTTGCAGGCATTGAAATAATCAAGAGAACACTGAGAATCCCAGCAATGACTATTGCAAAGAATGCCGGTGTTGAAGGATCATTGATAGTTGAAAAAATCCTGCAGAGCCCATCAGAAGTTGGCTACGATGCAATGCTTGGGGACTTTGTAAATATGGTAGAAAAAGGAATCATAGACCCAACTAAGGTAACCTAAACATCTTAATTCTCAGCTTTGCTTCCTCCCACCTCTTGTGGTGGTCAGCAGGTTTTAAGTAGTTTCTTGCTTATTTTTAGGTTGTGAGAACTGCTCTGATGGATGCCGCAGGTGTTGCATCTCTCCTATCAACAGCAGAGGCAGTGGTGACTGAAGTTCCTAAGGAAGAAAAGGAGCCGGCAATGGGAGGAATGGGTGGGATGGGTGGAGGAATGGGAGGTGGCATGTTCTAATTCCTGGGGTAGGGATGCATCATGAGCTGTGCTGTTAAAGACTGACAGTTCTGACTTCAAAAACTTGAGCTATCAGTGTGAGAGGATGGATAGTGACTGAAGTGAGGCTGGTGTTGAAAAGAATCACTGTAACCATCAGTTACCGGATTTCATTTAACACACGTGTAATTGTTTACAGTCATTGTCCATGCCTACAGATAATTTATTTTGTATTTTTTGAATAAAGACATTTGTACATTCCTGATAACTGGGTGCAAGATCCATCTACCAAGGTCCTGATTTGAACTTAATTAAGGCACTTGATATTCTATTTCAGAATTTCTTGGTGCTTGCCAGTACTAGAAAGAACTTGGAAGCCACTGTGCGTGAGACTAGACAATTGTGTACAAAGTAGGCAAATAGAGTTACGTGAACTTTATGTAATAAACTGCTCAAAAGTTACAAAATGTATCACCTCCTTCATCTGCACACAAAGCCATAGTTATGGGAGAGCCTGGACAGCCTGCTGCTGCTTCTAAGACTTAGTAGAAATTGACACTTATGCTTGAAAATATGACAGGGCATTTCACTCCGAGAAACATTCCTTTGTCTAGAATGTTTCTCAGAAATGCAAGTGCTTTAATTTTGGTAAGAAATATCTAAGCTGAACTGCACTACAGTTCTTTGAAATATTAAACAATGCTCTGAAAACAAGGCACGTGCACTGACTTTATTTTGCCCTGTGTTATCTGGTTGTTTCACGTGCTGGAACAGGCCCTGTGTACCTTTCACAGTCCCAGGGGAAGTGAAGTGCCCCGAGGGTATCAAACAGGTGAGTGCTAAGAAAGGGTTCTGGGGTTTTTTAGATCCTTCCTTTGCTCAGGTGTAATATGTGATTACCTCCTCACCTTGAGCCTTCCATTCTTACCTTCCTCCTTTCTGGTAAGGGGTGCAGGATTTAGTTATTTTGCACTAGAAATGTTGCTTTGCCTCTTTGTGTTCTTTGACCTGACACCACCACTAACATTGTGCAGTCTTTTCTACTTTCCAGCCTGCAGAACAATGCTTTTCCCAAACTTGTGTATGTTTATATCTGATTACCTCAGCAATCAAAACTGCTTTACAACTTCAGTTCTGTACAAATGACCTTAATCCACCTGTTGCTTTCCTCAGCTTCCTGTCCTTAATAAGAACCATCCTTCCTCAGATGGAATGTGTGACATTCTAATTTTAAGTAAAATTATCTGAAACTGTTTCAGGGCTGTCTTTATTTTGAAACATACCTTTCGATGTTATTTAATATGCTGTTCTTTAATAACCACGTGGATTACATGTGCTGCCAAGAAAGGACCAGCTTCAGCACCTGGCCTGAAGCTTCACCTAATTTCAGTAAGGAAATTGGTAATGCAAGGCAACATAGAGATTTAGAATCGATTCAAACCTATTCCCTTGGTTTCTTCAGAGACTGGGAAGAGAGTATTTCAGGCATAGAAGTACTGAGCATGTATGTAATCAGGATGCTCTTATCACAGTGGGAGTATGGTACTGAAAACCTCAAAGAATGAAGGTTTAGTGCTCTCTTGTATGATTTATGATGACAGCTGGCCTTGGCTGTGCTTGTCCGCAAGGAAGCACAGGGCCTCTTGTTACCTGCTCCCGGGGAGGACAGCACGGGTACCTGGTTCTCAGAGGTAACACTTGCTTCAAAGTGTTCCATTTGCATTAGGTGAGATGGGGATAACCAAAGTGCAGAGTGTACCAGGGAAGGAGGGGCAAGGAGCAAGTTCAGCCTGCCAAATGTACGGCAAATTCCAGACGGGTCCGCTGGGCACCACTGGCTGTAGCTGAGACTGCTGCGCTCAGGTTACAGTACTCCTTATGCATTTCATCCCTGAAAACGAGGGGACTGCTAGAGCAGTTGCTGGTCACTAGGAACTGGAGATCCCTGACTTACCTTTGCCATTTCAATGCAAAGCACCATTCCTCAATGGCTGCCAAACGGTGCCATTCTCTGGGAAGCCAGTGTGTCAGTTGGCCTCTGCTTGGGCAGAGCTGGCTGAGTTGATGCTCTGAAGTTACATTCCCACAAAGTTGAGTTAATAAGTTACAGTGCTGAAAAACCCCAGGAGCTTGGCTAAGGCAGAGCTTGGGCTGTGATTCCAGGAGCCGTTTGGCGTTAAACGGCAGCTGAGATAGCCCGGGTTACAGGAGCTGCCAGGTGTCTGTTACTGATAAGGCTTTAAGCTGCACTTGATTGCAGCTTTTGAACATTCTGTGTCTGTCTGTCTGAGCAGGTGTGTTTGGCACAGGGTAAGATCACACCCAAGCTCAGATAAGAAATAAATGCCCCAAAGGAGGAGCACGGCACTTTGTACAGGTGAAGTGTACAAACGAGTTTATAGCTGAGGTTGTTACAGTTTCCCTTTAGGTCTGGTGAACTTCATGCAGCAGCAGCTCCCGAGGGATGCTGGTTTCTGGGCCGTGGAGTTTGGATGCTCTTCTTTCAAAGGCAGCAACCATCTGCTTTACAACTTCATCAAAAAATAGCGTGGCAAGTTTTGAGTGTAGAAGTGAACGAAATTCAAAAGAAATCTGTTTAAGAAAATAAGATAATTATTTTTCCTATATATACTGTTGTAAAATGCTGTTACAAATAGACAACTTTGTTAAAGAATCTCCAGGTTAAGTTGTAGAACAGTTAAAACTGAGAAACAGGTGAACGTGGCTGAGAAGAAAACCTATTTTCCTTGGTCTAAGGACTGTACTTCTGGGCTTTTCCATTAACATAATCCTCTCATTCAGTTCTCTGAAGTAAACTAAACCTAAACTGTGTTTTCTTTAATAAATTGTTCATTACAAAAGAGGTTTGGGGTAATGAAAAACTACTGACAAACAATAACTGTTATTTTGTGCACAGAATTCGCTTGGTGGACAAAAGTTGTCTGAAGAAAATCCTGTGTGGCAAGACAACAGACTAACAGGTAAGCTGGAGCACACGCAGGAAGCTTAAAAGCAGTTTGAAATAGTTACCTATTGAATGCCAATATTTTAAATCAGTCTTTCCTTGTTGGTGGCAGTAGTCAGGGTAGGTTCAAACAAGCAGTGTAATGACTAAAATAACAGATTTGGTTTGTGTGTCACATCTCCCACCTCAACAGTTCCCACTCCCAACCTGACACCAGCAGTCAATAAAATGGATTGGGAGTTAAGTAATTTTTGTTATTCCTGAAAAATCAGATTTAATGCCACAAGGAGCAAATACACCTTCTCCACAATCCCTTATGAGCAATGCATGTTAACTGCAAAGCAGTAGCACAGAAGTAATTAAACAGCTTGGCCCATAAGCCAAGTGTAGCTTCATTTACATTTGCTTGACCTCAAACATCAGTAAAATTAATGTGCCTCTTGCAAGTCTGAGAGCTGTCATTTCGGGCATGCAGAGTTCTGCACAGTGAGGATGTTGAGTCTGGCATTGTGTTCAGCAGTTATGTCAGTCTTAAGGTATGGTATACATTGATGAAGTTTGCAGCTGGTAAAAATGGTGGTGTGCTTCAGTCTACGAACCAAATCATTTCAGAGCTGAAACCAAAGTAGGAAAGTTCCCTGCTGTATGTGGACGTCTCCTGGAATCAGGCTGGCACAACAGGAGACATCTGCTTGTGGGAACCAGCTTAGCTGGTTCAAAATTCAAAATTCAAACAACTTTTTCTAAAGCAAACAAATATTCTTGAAGTTGTCTCTGGAATATCTGTAATTGCAGGGCCTGTTTTGAGGAGTTTGTTGTGAAATGCTTATCATCCCTGCCTGCACGTGCCCAGAGGCAAGGAGCAGCAGGGCAGTAACTGGCAGAGTTATTTAACCTCAGCCAACTGCACTGGCTTCCTTTGCTGCCTCAAAACAGGGTAAGCAGTAAGATGTGTTGATAGTGTTCCCCCAAAAAAATGAAAATGTCCATATCCAGTTCAGTTTTGATTCCATTTAACTGAAGTTCTTGACCTGAAATGTCAAAATGTTGGTTTGTGGAGGTGTGGTGCTGTTTTCTCACAGAGCCTGTACTTAGGTTGTAGGCTTTAAATAGTTGTTTAATTCAGGTTTTTTAATTGATTTATGGCTTGGGTTAAAAGATAGCTTATATATGTTAGCAGAAAGAACTGACGCTTATTTGCCTAAAGAAATACAAATAACATGAGCGCATAACATGCAAACCATTAAAAAGTGTGGCTCTTTGAGCACCTGTAGATTAATTTTTACTGTTGAACTATATGAAGTGCAGTAATAAACTGAAAGCTAAAAACCCAAGGAGGTTAATGTGCTAGTTTAAAAATACTCCAAAAGCTTTTTCCTATTCACTGAAGATAATTTTCAAAGCAGGGTATTCCAGCAGATGGCAGCAGGATTAGCCCAGCTCTGTGTACTTTTGCAGCCTGTTACAACCCCCAGCTCAATGCTTTATTATACACTTTGGTATAAAATGCAAAAAGAAATGTGATGGCAGACAAACCAGACAACATGGAAAAGCAGTAAGTTGAATGGAAACAGCTTTTCTGGGAGTGAAATCAGGCTAAATCAGGTACTGGATTTAAAGAGCAATACTTTGGGGCTGCAGTGATATCCCATCATAGATTAGAGACAGCAAAAAACTATTACACTTGTATTAGAGGAGGAAGGAGTAAGGTTTAAAATAGAGCAAAGAGTAAAACTGGTAGACAGGAAATGAAACTGACCAAACTGCAGCCCAAACAGGACAGATGGCAGAACACTGACTTTCTGGTACCAAGGACATTTAGGTTGTAGAGTGATTCAAGAAAATAGCAAAGTATATTTAGCATTTCTCCTGCACTGGACTGTCTAAAAACTTCAACGTGTTTAGAACTGTAGGGTGATAGGTGCCTGTCCTAGACTGCTTCATGATACATGGACACCTCACAGAAGGCTGCTGTTTCTGAAGGATACTGAAGTGGTTTCCAGCAGTAAAGTTTGCAAAGTATTTTTTGGACAGAATTTACTAAAGCTAACTTGTTTTCTGTGTCTAAGTGTTTAAAGAAGTAGCACAGGCATTTTAAAAAGCCCCCTCAGTTGAAGATAAGTGTTTCTATGTGCTGCTCCTAGCATGTGGTAGTTTTAATTACCATACTTACTGAAAAATCCAATGTACATGTCCTTGGATAACCAGGGATGCCAGGGCTCAAACGCCACACTGTTTCCAAGTGATTAAAGAGTTTTCCATCTGTGCATGATGCCTAAAATAAAGTTTTGAAAATCAAG